AGCTGCCCTGGAGGTGTCATGCGGATCCCAGGAGCAAACAGATACGAGGTCCGGCCCGGGGCCAGAGGAAGCACTAGTGGGCCACGGTGCTGTGACATTTGAGCCCATCCTGCCCAGGTACTGCCCGACACCCTAGAGGCCCGAACCTCGTGGCAGTGGAAAAATTCCTTGCGTAAACCAAGATGCTGTGCTCAGGTTGCTGGGCCCGGGCCCTGGCTGATGTCACACTGGGCCTCGGCCACTCCAGAGCCACAGGGCCACCATCAAACACCCCACGCTTCCGCTGGACATCGCCGGATCCTCCTGCTGCCGCTATTTTAACTGCGCTTCCAGCCTCTGCCATGTGCCGGGCAGTGGGTGCTGAGCACCTGGCACCCTCACTCCCCCAAGAGCCTGGGAGATGGCAGTGGAAGCCCAGGAGTTCAAGAAGCGACCAATGAGACGACTGGACAGCAGGGCCAGATGAGAGCCCGGGCCCCAACCTCAGGCTGAGCACCAAATCCTCCAGGCACAGGTGCGGAGAGCAAGAAAGGGCCCAAGGTGACCGCAGAGACGCAGCCGTGGGCACCCGGCCTGGGTGGACGTCAAGTCAGCAGCCCAGAGTCCCAGCAGCTGTCAGCGTCAGCGACCGAAGCCCGGCCTGGCCCCGAGCACAGAGTGCCGTTCAAAGGCCCGGTGACGGGACAGGCCGCTGTGCAGGCTGAGCCTCCTCCCTTCTCACCACCCCAGGGCTCTCCTGCACCTGCTCGGAGCACCCAGAGCCACTGAACTCAAAAACTGATTCTAGAAACACCAAAGTGCCTTGTTGACAGCTAGAAGGAATCGATCGGAGGACTTCGGGTAGCCTGGGTAGGAGGTCACCCTGAACACCCGAGCACAGGGGCCAGGGCTTGGTGGCCAGTGCAGGGGCCAGCAGAGACCTCTCCAGGTGTGATCCTCATGGCTTCTGGGGCCAAGGGGATTTGTCTCTGGGCCCCTCATGAAGAAGGGGATCCCGCAGGCAACGTGCTGGAATCCACTGAGCTGGGACTGGGGTGACACCACCTCCACTCCATGCAGACGATCAGGCCACTGCAGAATGGAACCCCGGGAGCTCTCCCCGAGCCAGGGGCTTTTAGCCAGGGTCACCCACCTGGGGGTGGGGTCCACACTTTCTCCTCCCTTTACTTGCAAAGCCCAGTGGGGGACCCCTGGCAGGGACAGAAAGCCTCGCTTCTCCTGCCATGGCCACTGAGAAAGAAAATGCTATTTCTTTCCAGTCTTTCCTCCCTTGATGTTTTTGTAGAGTTGAGATCAAACACGATAAGTATTTGGTCTTCAGCTCTCTAAATTAAGCTGGTTTTCTTAGACATTTCCTGCTAACATTAAAAACACTCATCATATACATCATTCGCTATAAAATGTCTCCCACCCCATCCCCACTAGAATGTACATTTCAGGAGAACACAGATTTTTGTTTGTTCTTGTCTGTTGCCAAATCCCAAGGCCCAGAGCAATGCAGGCACATGCTAGACACACACTGAAAGTTTGCAGAATGAATGAATGGCTCACTCACACCCATCACTCCCTCCACACTCAGGAGACTTCTAACTTTCTGCTGTTACCAGGAAGGCCAAGGTGAACATCTTCGTGGTTACACCACTGGCCACTCCTGGGCTAGGGGAAGCCGGTCTCTGTTCCACACACCAGGACCACACCAGCTAGGGTCAAAGGACAGGGTTCAAGTTCTGGCTGTGCCACAGTTCCCTTCTGCGGGCCTCAGTTTCCCCTTTGGGCTTCCTCGGGTCCTCCCCAGCTCCTGCCACAGTGGCCCCAGGAGCAGAAGATGGAGCCAGCTTCCCAGGCTCCCCACCTGGCCCTGGACCCTGGTTATGGGCTGAATGGCCCCCCCCCCAGAATTTACAAGTTGCAGTCCTAACCTCGACACCACTGTATTTGGAGACAGGACTTTTACAGATGCCGCTAAGGTGACATGAAGGTCCCCAGGATGGATCCCATCAATCTCACCAGTGTCCTTAAAGGAAGAGAGCAGGAGGGCCACAGACACACACAGAGGGACGGCCACATGTGGGCACAGAGAAAGCGCCATCTACATGCCTAGCAGGGAGGAGCCAACCCAGTCCACCCTCCAGCCTGAGCCTTCTGAGCCCCAGCATTGGTGGAAAATAACTTTCCCTTCTTAAGTGCCTGGTCAGTGGCACTGTCCTCCAGAAGCAGATCAACAACCCCCTAGGAACCTCTGCCAGCAGACTCCTACCTGCCAGGCCTACTGCTGCCCAGGGGGGACATCCAGGCTCAGGGACAGTCTGCGCTTTGCTGGAGGATCCAGTACCCATTGGTGGCAGAGCTGGCATTGTGACCCCCCAGCCCCCCACTACCTTGGACAGGCACCTTCTCCCTGCCCCACCCAGCCCATTGTGACCACGTGGGCTGTGGCTGCCACCATGTTCACCATCAAGACCCAGGCTCACTACGTAGGGGCTGGCACTGCCCACTGAGCTCAGGGCATCTTTCCATACAACTGGGGAAACTGAGGCACGGGGAGCCCCACAGCTAGTGCGCTGGATTCAGACCCATGCCTGTACAATACAGAGCACTGTCTCCTCCTACCTGCCATGGCACTGTGTGAACGATTCCTCTGGCAACTCGGAATCAATGGGCAGCCAGAGCAGGCAAGGCCACTGCAGGGCCTGATCTCAGCCCATGCCAGCCAGGCCAAGACACAGCCACGCTCTGTGGCATAAAGGGGCAGGAGGCCATGCTCTGATCCTCCTGCTCATCTGGGCAGCTGGACACTGGACCAGCTGATGCCCACCATGCCACCTGGCCCAAGCTCTGGAGCACTGCCAGCCTGCTGCAGGGAGAGCCTCGGGGACTCCTGCCCCCCTTACCTTCGTTGAAGGGGGGGGACTGCTGACCTGCTGGACCTTCTCACACCGTGCCAGGCACAGGGGACAACAGACTCTGCTCACCCCAGCTCAGTGTGTGTGAAAAACGCTGCCATGGGCCTGAGTGACAGGAGCACGGGGAGCACGGGGAGCCCAGAAGGGCCAAGGTGGACTCAGCCTCCCAGGGAGGACCCCTCAACCTCTTGAGCGCCTGTGGCTTGTGGCTTTCTCGCCTTGCCTTGTCCCCTCCGGGCTACCATGCTCGGTGTTTCCAGGTCAGGAAGCCACACTCAGGAAGGTGCCCCAGCGCCAAGACCACTAGATGCACGCCACGGCTCAGAGCCCAGTCCCGTGCCCCCCACAGCCCGGCCGCCCCACCCCAGGACAACAGCCACAAACGCACAGGGAAGGGGAGCCAGGCTCCCATCACAGGAGGGACCAGAGATACCAATTAGAGCCACGGAGAGCATGAAATTACCTGGTGTGCACCCAGCCATCATCCCCACCTGCCATTAGAGAAATGCCTGGAGGTCCTCCCAGGTCTCAGGGTGCCCTCCTCCCAGCCACCCCCAGATAATGGCCACTTCAGAAATCTTCTTCCAACGGATTCCGCCTCCAGCCGCCTGCCACTTGCTCTTAGCATCCTCTGGATGCCCACTGCAGCAGCCCTGCCTTCCTGGGGTGGTGGGGAGGGGACACACTCCCCTGCTCGGAGGGGTCCCTGGGAACATGCCAGGCCCAGAGCCCACAGGGAGCTGTTGCTACCACTCACCCCCACCCTCTTCCCCTTGGGAAGCACTGTTCCTGCTGGGTCCTACGCCATGGCAAAGGGCCATATTGCGGTCAGTGGGGAGACAGCCTTGGGGAAAGCACACGGGGGCCAGAGAGCCCCAAGATCGAATTCCTACCCTGCCGTGTGAGGCCCAGTGACTGCAGCCCCCCGAGCCTCTAGTCGCACCCTGAAAAACAGTGAGGCTCCTCCCTGCCGGGGAATGTAGGGACCAGCCCTGGCCACGCAGGTCCCAGGAGGTTCTGGGAGGGGTGCACCCCCGCCAGGGCTCTAGACGCCCACCTCGCCCCAAGGCCTCCAGCTCCACTCTCAGTTTCCCAACTGCACAAGGCGCGGCTGGTTTGCGGCTGGATTTTCCAGCTCCGCAGAGGCTGTCAGATCCCGGTGGGTGGGTGCGGCGAGAGAGGCCGGCCCGCCGCGCAGGGGCCAGGACTGGAGAGGGACGCGCGCAGATTGGGCCAGGTCCGACAGCCGCATGGGCTCCGGGCCCTCAGACCGGCGGCGCCGGCGACCCAGACACCGAGAGCGGCCTGACATCCCCAACCACAGCCCAGAGGAACCGCGCCAGGGCGGCGCCCCCTGCTGCAGAGCCCCGCCGGCCATCTCACCTCTCCCCTGGCCCGCACTGAGGTGGCCCCGGAGCCCCTCGACCAGATCCTCTGGCCTTCAGCCTGGAGCAACCCCGGGTCCCTGAAAAGCAAAGGAGGGGCGCCTGTCCGCCAGCCCTGCGCAGCCACCGGCTCGGCGCGGTGGCCAGCGATTCCTGCGCGCGCTACCCAGCTATGCGCCGGGCACAGCGCCTGGGCCTACGCGCCGACCCCCACAGGCTGCAAACCCCAGGTGCAAAAGTTGGCGGCGCCTCTGGCGATTTTGCCCCTGCAGCAGGTGCAGCCTTCGAACGCCACCCGGCCCTCGCGCCCCCGGCACGCAGCGGGCAGACGCGGCGGCCTCCAGTCCCCAGCTCTCACCTGCACTCATCGCGGCGGCGGATCGGGGCCCCGGCAGTCGCAGTGCTGCGACACCCGACACCCGGCCAGGAGGTGCCGCGTCCGCGCGTTCCTCCGCGCACCAGGCCGACAGTCCCGCAGCGCCGCAGCCCGCGCCGCCCGCCCCGCCCCCGGCGGCCCCGCCCCTCTCCGCCCCGCCCATCGGGCCCCGCCCCGTGCCCTCGCCCGCCCTCGTGCCGGGCGCACCCTGGGAAGTGTAGGCGCCCCGCCCCTGCCGCGCGCCCCCGCGCCGCCGCCTCCGGACGCGGGGACTACGGAGAGGGCGGGCGCCAGGACGCGCAGGCGCAGAGGCTCGGCCGCCCGCGGACGCTCCGACCCTGGGGGGCCGTCCCGAGGCCTTGGCCCGGGACCAGGGGCCGGCGGCTTCGGGAGCTCGGAGCTCTCCGGAGAAGAGCGAGCTCTGAGAAGCCCTTGTGCCGGGGAAGGCGTTCTGTGCCAACCCCCTCTTTCCCACTCCACAGGGGGAAACCGAGGCGGGCGAGGGCGGGCCAGGCAGATTAGCTGACGTCCCTGGGCAGCGCTGTGCCTCTGTCTTGCCACGCACCTTGGCTCCCTGCGACCTCCACCCCGCTCGGGCCCTGGCCCTGGCCCTGGCCCTGGGGTCGCGCACTGAGGTGCCCACGCAGTGACCCGACTTCCCCTCTGTGAAGCCGGGACCTCAGGCTGTGGGCTGGGACAGGAGAGGGAGTCAGGGAAAGGGGAGCGCAGGTGGTCCCCACTGTGTTCCTGCCGCGACAGCAGGTGGGCTGCAGAGGGGCAGGGGGAGATGGGACAGAGCCAGGGTGCAGGGGGCAAGGAGCTGGCGTTGGGCCGGGCTGTTGGGAGAGGCCGTGGAGGGGAGAGGGCTGGGCACAAAGATGTGGGTAGGACGGGACTACTAGAACAGGACTACTAGAACTGGAGCAGAATCCCCACACCCACAAACGCAAACATCTCATACTTCCATCTCAATCAAAAAGGGCAGGCTGGAGCCCGGAGTACAAGGCCCCCGAGAGCTGGAGTCCTGGGGAACCAGCCCAGCCAGGATCCCCTGGGACCCAGGGTGCTGAGCCCGCAGCCTTGGGCCGGCCCTGCTGCCTGCCACCCCCCCCCAGCCTGATATGGATAGAAGGGGCACTGGACAGGTCAGGGTCCTGCACCCAGTCCGGCCCCACCACAGCCCCTTCCGCTGTGGGCACCAAGGCCCCATCCCAAGTGGCCGAGGGAGGGAGGCATGGTGGGCTGGGGAGGTGGCCCTGGGTCACTGCCTGGGGGACCCTGGCCTGTCCACCTGCTCCTGAAAGGTTGGTGACACCACTCGGCCTTCGTCCTTGGACTTGGAGCAGTCCCTGCTCTTCAGGACAGGTCTGAGGACCACGTGAGCTCATGGTGCAGCGACCAGCATGAGAGGGGTCAGTGCGAGTCTTCAGTGCTGTGATTATGCCATCATCATTGCCCTTGGTGTCTAATTCGAGGACAGAGCAGGCAGCTGCAAACGCCTATTGAAACGAGGAGCCCAAGAGGTGGGCTGGGCACCCACCCAGCCCAGGAGCAGCCCTGCTCCCACCTGGCCTCTGTCACCTGCTGATCAGAAGCATGGGCCCCACCATGTCTCCAGGGCTCCTGAGGGCCTCCTAGGAGGCCATGATGCTCTCTGCCGCTGAAGCCCTCAGCAGCAACCTTGTGAGTCTAGCTGCCCTGGCTGGCCCTGTTCCAGTGTCCCTAGAGCCTGGTGTGTGGCTCCCAGGAGAGCTGGCCCGGCTCTGGGAGCAGGAGCCTTCACAGGGGTGGAGGCTGGGGTCATGGCAGTTCTTAACCTGGAGGGACCAGGTGCCCAGGCGCCAGCACTTTCTTCCCAGAAGCCCTGCCCGGGTCACCCAGCAGGTTGGTGGCAAGGAAGGGGCCGGCCTGGGCCCTGTCATTCATTCCCATTCTGTGCCCGCAGAGCCTGGACCTCGGGGGATTTGCCTTGAAGAATCACTTGATTCCAGTCAGCTGAACTGGACTCTGACTCGAGTCCCTGGGGCTGTGGACCCGTGTGACCCGGAGCCGCTGGCTTCTCCTCTCCGTACCTCAGCTCACTCAGCCTATAAGTCACAGTGTGCGCCCTCAGGACTGCTGGCATAAGTGAGTCGTGTTGAGGTGAACATTTTTAGCTCTGCTGAGAAATCAGGCAGGGCTCCGTAAATGACAGGTATTATGGTAATTATTGTTACTGAAACCAACCAGGGAGAGGTGCGTGCCCTCGAGAGGCCCTTAGACTCACGTGCATTGTATTCATTCATATAACAATTTATTAGAACCCTTTGATATGCTAAACTCCATTCCAGTGAAGAAAAGAGGCAAGTTAGTCTCCCGAGTCACGTGATTCTTAGCGAAAAGAGCAGCCTGCTGGGCGGGGGTCGGAGGCATGCTGAGGGGCTTGTGGACACCGGCTACCGGGGGTGACCCTTCCATGTCTGGCAGGAAGCTGAGCATGTAGCTCAGAGGTAGGATGTTGGCCTAGAATGCACAAGGCCCAGGTTCGAACCCCAGTACTGCCAGAAAGAAGACCATCAGTGACGCCGAAGAGCTGGGCTGCAGTGGGCAGAGGCAGGAGGAGGACCTGGGGACAGCAGAGCCCCACCCTGCTTTTCCTGCCCAGCTCACACCCGGGCCACCTGGGGATCCCCACTTGGCCTCTGCCCCCTTGAAGCAGGCAGCATGGGGACCTTGGGTCCTCCCACCTGGGTGCTTAGGAAGTGTCCCTCCCAGTGGGGGTTCCTGCCAGCCCTCACAGGGGTGGCTGGGGCCGTGGCCCTGTCCCTGTCCTCCCAGCTCTGGCCCCATTCAGACTTCTGCCCACTGTCCCTGCCTGAGGCTGGCCAGGTCCCATCTGTCCTAGCCCTTACATGACCCTGAGCAGGCCCGTGTCTCCTCTGCTCTGCAGGCTGGGGGAGAGCACTGAGGGTCACCGTGTGCCCTGGAAGTCCTTGTGTTGGAGATGTAACCCAAGAGTCACATGTGTTTGGAGGTGGGTCCTCTGAGGGTGGTTGGGGTTCCCTGAGGCCCTGACAGTGGCCCTGTGGTGGCATGCTGTCTCTCCCTGTGGGATGCCTCACAGTGCCGCCCACGATCTTGGACTTCCAGCCCCCACAGCCCTGAGCTCAGGAACCTTCTGTGAGCTGGGGTGGGTGTCACAGCAACAGGCAGCCAGCTGGAATGGAGAGAGACAGCTGAGTCCCAGCAGGAGGGGTGGGGTCTCGCCCCCGTGCTGTCCCAGATGCAGCGCTGGCTTCGGGGTTCCATCTGCCTTCTGGGGTCAGGAAACAGACACCTTGCCCTGCCCTCCTGATGGCGCCTGGGCTCTGGTAGGATGATGGCATCACTGGGCCGAGATGTTAGAGTCCCGGGCCCCTTGGGGGGACATGCTCGGTGCCATCAGGCGGATGACAGGCTCTCAGTAGGGTGGAGCCTTCAGTGGGACCCTGGGGACTCGCAAGGGAGCTCCCCCTGCCCTCCCCTTCTGAGGACGTCTGCACCACTCATGGGAAGGGCCGGGCAGGTCCCTGTGTTTCATGGGTTTCTTCTCAGGACCCCGTTGTCATCACCCTCACTGTGCAGGTGGGGAGCTGAGGCTGGAGCTAACCCTGTGAGCGGAGCACAGCGGGCCCTTCTGAAGAGCCAGCCTGCATCCTGGGCACACGCCCGTCCTGAACCTGTCGTTGCCTGCAAGGGGCACTGGAATCCAGGGCCTGAGTGCCGGCCCATGACGGGGACACCTGCCCACTGGGTCTCTCAGTGCCGGGCCCTCTGCCTGGGCTCTGGACAGCCCAGGCTGCCTGTGGGTGTCAGCTGAGATCACTCCTCTTTGGAGAAGCCCCTGGACCCTGGCTGGGAGACCCCACCTCCACTGGCCAGGGCCCTGTCTACCCCACCAGACCCCTCCATGTCTCAGATTTTATGTCCTGCCTGGCTCTGTCACCAGACATCAGGCCTCCCAGGCCAGGCTCCGTCCAGCGCATCCTGGGGTCTCCAGCCCATGCTGGTCTCTGGAGCATCTTGGGGTCTCCCATGCACCCTGGGGCATCCAGAGCACGCTGCGTCTCTGGGGCATTCAAAGTGTCCATTCTGGAGTCTCCCACACGGGACAGCAGCCACTGGCAGTGAGGTCAGCGCGTGGCCCACACTGCAGTCCCATTGGTTGCCTGCTACAGAGGAGGGAGGTCAGACCCGCCCTGTGTCCCTCTCAGCCCCCTGCCACCACCCCATGTCTGCTGCAGCTTCCCACAACTTGCTGCTGTGGTAGCAGCGTGATGCGGCCCGGCTCACCTGGGACCTGGTCTAGAAAGAAGGTGTGGAACCCCAGCTGGGTGGAAGTCCTGCAAATCAAGATTCGTGGTGACAAACAGAGCAGGCAGTGTCCAGGTGCTGAGCAGCCTGCACGGACTGGAGTGGCCGGGTCTTCTCTTGGCAAAGCTGCAGGTTTTTTTGTCCCGTCCTCACCTCCCATTGCGTCCCCGAAATTGATTTACTTACAGCCAAATGGAGAAACAAATGAAATATGATTTCATTGTGGGAGCTTTCCAATGGCTCAATAATTTAAAACTGTGCCACATGAAACCAGGAGTAAAAATAGCACAAGACTCCCAGCTCCAGCCTCTCTGAAACGCAGGTCCCCGCACCTGGGTCATCAGCTGCGGTAGGCCGGCCTCATGGGCGTGCACCCGGGGCTCACCTGAGTCCTGCAGGTGGACGGAAGGGACCGGTGCTCTCTTGGGAGTTTCCCCACCATTCCAGCTGCCCAGGAACTCAGTCCTTCATGGACTCAGCAACATGTTTGCATCACAGAGAAACCAGGAGAGAGGAGAGGTCATTCAGTCCCAGGGACCAAATGAGGTAGAGGACCCAGGCCTGATCCCAGAAGTGACTCCCGCAGAACCAGGCTTGGGTTTGCTGGCCCGCTGGAGGGACTTGGTGCCTGCACAGAGACAGAATCAGAGCGTGCGTGAGAGAGGGAGGGAAGGAAAAGCAAGCTGCAGGGCTGAGGCCAGGTGCCGTGTTGCTGAGCACCTGCTGTATACCAGCCCATGTGCAGGAGAGGAGGGATCAGGACTGCTGGTGTGGGCCCTCGGGGACACGAGAGACAAAAGCGCACTCAGCAAGGCTGCATCACAGCGCAGGCTTTGGGGAAGGGCTCACAGTCATGCAGGCCAGAGGTCTGAGCTCTGGGGACGGCAGGCGTTCCTCTGAGGTTGGAGGGGCGTCCCAGGCCCCTGTCCCAGTGTGTTGGAAGCCTTGCTGCTGTCTGTCCATGTTCACACGGCTCTCCGTGTCTCTGTGTCCCTTTAACAAGGGCGCTGCTGCTCTGGGTCGGAGCCGCCCTGCTGACCTCATCTAGCAAATGGCATCTGCAGCCGCCCAGTTTTTAAGTCAAATCACATTCGAGTTCTGAGAGTTAGGGACTTCAGCGCCCGGATTTCGAGGACACACAGTTCAGCCTGTAACTGTGGTGAGGACGAGGAGAGAGCACTGCATTGTGACTGCTGTGAAGCAGGGCCACAGAGTGGGGGACAGCGAACCCTGGCCCCGGCAGGAATCTTGGAGACAGCGCTGGGTCCGAGCTGGGAGGGAGGAAGCTCAGGAGCCCCAGAAAGCGGGTGCCAGTCAGCACGGCCATGCCGAGCCCCAGGAGAGGCCACTGGTCACTTGGTAGAGTCCACTGACTGATCAGCTCTGTGAAGTCAGACTTGGGTACACAGGCAGAGTGGGGAAACCCAGGGGTCCCAGCAAGCAGAAGGCAGGGAGACTGGCCACAGCCTCGTGGCCCGGCCCACACTTGACCTGCCACAGCTGGGGAGACCCCGGCGCCCAAGGGTGCGTGCCTCGCTGGATTGTTTCCAATCCCTGCTGCTTCCTGGGGAGCGGGACAGGAAGGATGTGACCCTGGTGTATCAGACCACTGGGCCCCATCCTTCCAGAAAGCCAGGCCCTGCTTGCTGTTTGCTCGCCCAAGGCGCAGGCAGACCTGGCTCCCGATGTCCTCACTGTGTGGAGAGGCCGACCATGTCCAGGTGACAGGGAAGGCGTCGCACCAGGGAGCCAGGCTGGACCCATGGTGCCAGGTTGGACCCACGGTACGCAGCTGACTCACCTGATGACTGTCCTCCTCACCTCTCTCCTCTGTCCTCCTTTGCCTCCCAGAGGAGGAAACAGAGGAACCAGGGGGCACACCCTCCCAGGGTCTCCCTGGGTCACCAATAGGGAGCAGAAGCCGGACCCCATCTGCTCCAGCCCGCCGCCCTGCTCCTCCTCCTCCCTCCAGGCTCAGGGTCAGGGTCGAGCCCTGTAGCTTTCAGTGGCTTTAAACAGCACACATTTACTTCTACAGGTGTGTGTCATGGGGCTCAGGCCAGGTGTCGCCCCAGGGCTGTGGCCTCATCCCAGGGATCTGAGGGTGTGTGTTGGCCAAGGCGCACCACTGTGACAGAACACCCAACAGAAAGGGCTTAAAGGGGAGGGTCTCAACGGCTCTGGGGTTCAATCCATGACCAGCTGGCTCCCTTGGGGTGTGGGAGGCAGGAACGTCACGGCAGAAGAGAGCTGCTCACAACACGGTGACCAGGAGGCAGAGGCAGAGACAGAGTAGAGCAGTGGCCCGGGACAGGACAGTGCCAGGGTCCCGCCCCACGCCCCACTCCTTCTCCAGGCCCACCCCCTGGCTCTGCCACCACAACAGTGCCACCCAGTGTGAGGGCACCGGTGGCCAGTCCTGTGCTGGTGATGGGTGATCCAGCCTCCACAGAGCCCACCCCTGAGCACTGAGCCTCTCGGGGGACATTTTAGATCGTATCGGGGGACCCACATCCACGCTGGCCACTGGCCAAACCCACGTGTGAGATAGGGCTCGGAGAGGCGGGAGCCATGGGATGGACGGGTCAGGCGGGAGAAGCTGAGGTGTCACAGTGGCACCTGCCCGGCCCTGGTGACCACAGCTGGCCCCACTGAAGCTGTGTGCTGAGCCCAGCTACACCTCGTGCTGCTCCATCCTGTGTTGGCCTCACAGATGTGCCCATGGCTGCCTGACACACCCACCCTGTCACCTGAGCTCTGGGCCGCGGGCTCCGGGGTGGAACTGGCCCATCTGGGCTGGGATCCCGGTAGGCTACGGGCCAAGCGTCTGGGCCACGCCTGTCCCTCTTCTCAGCCGTGGGGTGCTGGGCCCCTAGTTGGGCCTCTGCAGAGTCAGCGGCGTAGGTGACCCGATGCAGTGGCCCAGGGAGGTCAGGCCATGTGGGGTGCAGTGCTGGGTCACTGCCAGCACTCGGTCAGCTGTGCAGGAGTGGGTGCATCCCATGTACCCACCTGCCCAGGCCCCGCCTTGTCCCCCTGGGGTGCTTGTGCCCAGGCCCCATTGGGGGTCTTCAGGGCCCGAGCTTGGGTCAGAAGCAGGAGCCCAGCGCCCTCCGGAGAGCTGGTTTGGGGCTTCCTGCCACTCCCCGGGCTCCCACTAGAGGGCAGTGGAGCTGTCTCCACCCCGCAGACTGGGCACCAGCTGAGGCTCAGTTCCTAGGAGGAGCTGCAGCGCCTCTGACGGGAAACCGAGGCGGGGCTGACCCAGAGCCGCCCAGGAGACAGCTGGCTGCCCGGGGCCCACGCGCGCAGTGTCCACAGTGCCACACACGGGCAGGTGACATCTGGGGTCGCGGGAGACACCCGTCCGGGCCTGCAGAGACGGCGGCCCTGTGTATGAGAGTCTGCCCCCCCCCCCTGGGGGCAGCTGGGGTAGAAACCACCAGCATCTCCTTTGGCCTCACCTGACGGGGGCCTTTTTCTGGTGGTAAAAATGGACACGTTGTGAATGTGAAGCTCACACACTCAGACATCATGGGGGAGACAGTGACCACCCTGCCCAGCAGCCGGCCGCAGCGGATGTTTTTGTACCCTTCTGTCCAGTGTTTTTCTCTAAAGAACATTTTAATTAATTATTACTTTACTTTGGGGCACCAGGCATAGAACCCAGGGCCTTTGCACTAAACTACATCCCACACCCATTTTTCTGAGACAGGGTCTCTCTACTTTAACCAGGCTCAGCTTGTCCTTGTGATTCTCCTGCCTCAGCCTCCCAGAGTGCTAGGATTACAAGCCTGATTTTAAAAGCATTTTTAAATTCAACCAACTGAGGGTTGACTGTTTTTTTTAAAAGCTGCATCCGTATTAAACATGTACAGCACATTTTCTTGTCACTATTCCCTGCACGATAGTGTCCAACAACTATTTCCTCGGGGTTCACGTTGCCTCCGGTAAGTCATCTAGAAATGATTCAGAGTTCAGGAGAGCTGGCTACAATAGTGCGGACCTGTAATCCGCGCTTCTCCGGAGGCTGAGGCAAGAGGATTGCAAATTCAAGGCCAGCCTGGGCCCCTTGTAAGACTCTGCCTCAGAGTACAATAAAAACAGCTGGAGGTGTAGCCCCAAGGCCAAGCTCCTGCCCAGAAGCATGTGTGGGCCCCTGGCTTCAGTCCCCAGTCCCAGGGAGGTGGCTGTAGGGCTGCGCCCCAGGGGGACCTGAGCTCAGGACCTGTGTGGCCTTGGGACGCACTGTGTGAAGCTGTGACCTCCCCTGTCATCCTCCCTGGGCCTGCCCTGCTGCCCCGTCCCCACCTGGCAGGGGAGCAAGCTCGGCCCCAGGCACAGTAGGCCACCGAGTGGAGCTTCTCTCCCTGCCTGGGGTCCTGGCATTACCGGGTCTCTGTGCCTCTCTGGAGTCCTCACTCAGGGTTCCCTGTCACCCTTCTCGGGGTGCCCACCCCATGGGCTCCTGCAGCTGTGTGAGCTCAGCCCCGCTGGGTTCTTGGGAGCCTGGCTGCACTGTTAGGGCCACGGGAGCCAAAGGAAGGTAAGCTTGGCTGAATTTTTTTCAAGCAAGATTTCTAAAACCATCTTTCAACAGATATGAGCAAATTGAGGATTTGGGAGGGGTGCATGTGTGTGTGTGGGGGGGTTGATTTTTGGTTTTTTGAGACAGTCTCACTATGTAGTCCAGGCTGGCCTTGAACTCACTATGTAGCCTAGGCTGGCCTTGAATTCGCAGTGATCCTCCTGCCTCAGCCTCCCTAGTGGCCAGTTTATGTTTTTAACAATTCTGGGCTTCCAGGTGCCAGTTCCCACAGCACAGCAAATTTGACACATATTAAACACACCAACCAAACCCTCCTTTTGTGTGGATTCTGAGGCAGGGAAAGCTGGATGAGAGGTAGTGAGTGGGAGGCTCAGTGGCAGACCCTGTCCCTGGACCCCTGGAGAAGGGCACTTGCTCCTGGCCTCCTCTGACCCCTCAGCCGGCAGTGCAGGGCACAGGGGAGAACCATGCTTTCCCCACTGTTGCAGGTACATGGGGGACCTGGCCCAGAAACGGCTCCTCGGGTGGCTTGCAGATGGGGAAACTGAGGCCCAAAGAAGGGCATGGGGCTGGAATGGAAGACGCTGGCTCCAGGTTGGGGTCAAAGGACAGAATCTCCACAGGAGCGGCTTCCAGGCTCCGGGGCCTGGCAGTGGGTACCCTGTGTGGTAGGGGAAGGGGCCCTTGAGGTGCTGCCCAGGTCCTGCGAGCAGCAGAGGCCCAGGGCCCTGTGTGGAATCCGACCCTGCAGCGGCCCCGGGTTCCAGCAGCCACCCAGGGTCGGGGCCACAGGCATGGGTCACAGGGTTCCAGGGCCCCCTCCTTCCCCGATGGACTCTGCCAGGGACACTCAGCCCCAGCCCAGCAGCCAGGGTGGGGATGGACTCCAGGATCTTCGCTGGGAAATCACCGAGGCAACAAAAGTGAGTGCAGCCAGCAAGCACCACACTGCCTGCGGCCAAGGAAGGTGAGGACCTTGGCCACCAGCCAGCCGGGGTAAGAAAGAAGCCTGCACCCCAGGGGGACAGCTGCAGGGACTTGACCATGAGCTGCCATTAGGGGCAGGCTCAGCGGTCTCCTAAGGGAAAGCAGGGAGAGGGGTGAGCCAGCTGATGCCGCATTCATTCATTCGCTGATTTGTTCATTCAGGCCCAAGATCTGGGCACGGTGAGTCAGTCACAGACACATTCGCCTGGGGATCTAGGGCATCGCTTTAAGCCCTCAACCTTTCTCTTCTCTTCTCATTTCTTTTCTTTTTGTACTTCTCTTCTTTTTTCTTTTCTTTTCTTTTTTGAGACAGAGCCTTGCTATGTAGCAAGGCTGGTCATGAACTCACTGTGTAGCCCAGCCTGGCCTCAAACTCAAGGCGATCCTCCTGCCTCAGCCTCCCGCCATGCCCAGCTGTAATTGCATTTTATGGAGATTAACTTGGCATTCTTTTTTTTTTTTTTG